CCCTGCCCTCCAAGGGGCTGAGCAGGGCTTAGCCCCCCAGGGAGCCCAGCCCAGCCTTCCAGGATCCCCCCCATCCCCCCAGAACGGTTACAGATTTCACAAGGTTATCGAATGGCATCACTGAAATTAGTTCACAGTTGTCTCCTGACGCACCAGCAGTAAAAATGAACCCAAATTACACGAGGCTGATGGTTCCTTTTCTGTGTCACAGGCGCTATTAAAAGCTCACTCACACAAAGCACCAGGGAGAGCTGCAGCAGCATCAAGCTGTTCCTGCAGCTATTAGGATCTGGGTGTAATCCACGCTGCACACATGTTCGGGGCTGCCCAGGCTAAGAACACCAGCAGGGACACAGCCTGTGGCCAGGCAGGTCCCTTTCTGGGGACACAGATAGAGGTGGCACTGAGGAGAACCTCAGCATCGCGCTGCAGCCAGCGGGGAAGCCAAAGACAGAGTCAAGCTTTGCCCAAGTCTGTATAACACAGCCCCCCACATCCAGGATGGATGAAGGGAGGGATGGAGGGAGAAGGGTCCCTGCAGCACAGGGTAAAGGCCACTCTTGCACAAGGAGTGTGAATCAGGTCTTTGTTACCCAATATTGCACAAGCCAGAGAAAGAAAATGAAGCAGCAATGATCAAGTAAGGAGCTGAAAAATATTACAAAATCTTAATCCACCCCATGAGACCCTCTGGGGTGCTTTCAAATACAGAGAGAAATTGCCTAATTAGCTTTTTTTTTTAAAAAAAAAAAAAACAACCAACAACACAACAGATAATTGCCTTCCTGAGCTTCCACAGGCAGCTTAGCAACCTTTTCACATACGGGCACACGCTGCATGGAGCAGCAGAACGTTTCTGAAAGGGGTTTTATACCTTTCCCGAAGAGCTGCTGACAGTAAAACCTCCAGCAATACAGGCAGGGGCTGTAATGGGCACTTGGGTGTCGTTAGTAAAAACACTGCTCAGAGTTCGCTGGTCAATACGTGTTCACATAAAAGGGCAATGTTCTAATATTCATAATCCCAGGGCCCACAGGGCAGGGTTTTAATGAAAGTCTGTACAGTTCTGGTCTCCACAACATCAAAGAGGCCAATAAAACTCCTCTCACATGCTGACAGGCAGGCGGGGAAGGCAGGAGTGGGGAAAGGCCCCGCGCAGCCCCCGGGTTCGCTCGGCCCGGCAGCCCCGGCACAGGGCTGGGGCTGAGCACCCACCAGTGCTGCCTGGGGAGAAGCCGTGTTTGCACAGCCCCGTGTGAGGAATATGGAATGGGAGAGCACCCAGGGGATGTGGGGCAGCCCCTCGGGTGGCAGGATGCAGCTGCTCTGGTGTTTTCCAGGCTCCTGCCTCTGCAAAACATGCAGGGTGAGGATGTGGGGCGGGGGGGGAAGAAGGGCACCATTTACTGCCTCTCATTGCTAGTCAAGCCAACATCCTGCAGAGGCACAGGGAGGCACGGATCCAAGGTTCAGAGCAGCAGCTCTCCCAGCAGCCCTGCGAGGTCCTTGTCCCCAGGAATGGAGCACCTGGGCTGGACTCCACTCCCCAGGGCAGAGCCAGCCCCCCCCCCGCCACAATAGGGCCCATGCTGGGCACCAGAGAGCTGCCCAGGAGCTGCATGGCTCCTCCCGGGGAGGTTTAGGAACTAAGAGCACTAAAAACCTGCCTTCCTCCCCAGCAGGGATATTTAACCCAGCAGCAATCGTGCCGATGCTGCTGAGCTCCAGGCACAGCAGGGAGACCCAGGATCCTGCTCCACCGCCCCGGATCACAGGGAGAAGAGGTGGAGAAGAGATTCAGAACCTCCAGCAGTCACCATCTTTTATGGGACTTTTTCCCTCCTCCCAGCCACAAGAACACGTGTCATTAGCGACTCCTCCTGAACTGAGCAGCTGTTCTTTGGCCATTACAGCTCCAAAATTAACCAAGACGGAAGAATTCAACTGCATCCCCTCCTCCCAGCCCTGCTGAGCGTGCTCGATTCAGGGACCAAGAGCAGCTTCTGCCCCAAGTTCATGGGCATCCCAGGGCCTGAGGAGGCACATAAGCCTTCGGGGAACCTCGGGTGTGAAGGCATCAACCCCCACGGCTGCCAGGGACAGAGCAACCCGGGAGTCAACGTTATCAGCAGCAGCACCGGGCAGTGTCTTGGAGACACTCCAAGCTGCTGGGCAGGAACCCAGCCAAGAAGCAGGAGGGAGGATAATCTCCCTCCAAAGAGACAGCCCCTTTCTCACTTCCCTTCTCAATCTCTGCAAGGATATTTCAAGGCCTCCCCGAGAACAACAACAGCAAAAATACCCCAACAAAACAAAACCCAAACAAAACAAATGAAAGAAAAAGAAAATAAAATCAACAAACAAGGGAGGAACAGAACCAAACAAAAATAAAATAAAGGAAGAGGACACAGGCAGAGAAGAGGGGCAGCAGGGTTAGGGGACACCTGCCAGCCATGGCCTTGCACAGGGAGCCTGCAGCTGGGGAAGGGAGGGATGGGCCATAATTCCATCAACGGCCACAGTAAACAAATAATAAATAATGTGGACCAGTAAACAAAGCTGAGGAATAATCACAGGCTTTGTCAGAGCCAAAACCCAATCCAAATTTATATCCTCCCCACCAAAAAAAAACCAACAACAACACAACAAACAACAAAAACAGTCAGCACCCATAAATTTACATACCTTGGAGTGCATTGAATGGCTTGTTATGGGGAGTGGGGACAATGGGCTGGCAGGGATGGTGAAAGCAGCCCTGTTTGGCCACTCAGGCCCTCAGACAGGTGGCCAGCCCAGAGCCCTCACTGCTCACAGAGCTGCATTTATCCCCCCTGCCCGGGGAGAGCTGTGCTCCACCCCCAGGGGGGACCCCAGCCCCCTTGCCCTACCTCTCCTTTCCCTTCCCAAAAGAACAACTCCCACCAGGCTTTTCCAGAAGGCAAAGCCACAGCCTTTCTTGGGAAAAATCCACAGGATGCTGTGAAGATGCAGGGAGCTGCCTGGAAGTGACCCTGCTTCCACCACACTTCTTAAAAAAAAGTGGGTTTTTTTTAAGATGTGAAGCTGGGAGCAGGACACAGCAGGGCTGGAAGTGTGACACAGACACACACCTGGGATTTTGAGTGAATCCTGGTCAATCCTGTTCTCCTCTCTATCCAGGTGCTCCAAGCCCACTGCTTCTGTCTTCCCTGGGGTGTCCTCTGTTGCAGACAAGGTGGTGTATGTGCTGATAACCAGTATTCCCAGGCCAATCCACAGGATCACCTGCACAACAGGGCAGAGCTTCAGTCAGCACAGCAGAACCAACAGGACTCCAGCAGAGCCTCCTTCATGCAAACAGGGTCTCCAAACAGTGCCAAGCTCAGTGCAATGACAGTTCCATCAGGGGAAAAGAAGAGGAATTTAAGAGGTGGAAAATAAAAAAAAACACCATCTTTTGGCTGAGGTTTGTATTTGGATGTACAGACATCCCCATGAAGAGTTGCAGTGCTGGAAGCTGCTGAAAAGGTGGCTCAAATGCAAGCTGAAGGGATGTAGGGATAGAAAAATGCACGTGGCAGACACGAGTCCAGCTGCAAAGACTCATTCCCTGGTATTTCCAGCAGAACTCCATGAAATCTGGTCTGGCTGAGAACAGGGGTGCCCGACCTGTTCACAGCCTAGAAAGGTTTCCTGGGAGCTGTGTCAAAATTAATTTTTTTGAGAAGAAGAGCAAGATGTCCACACACAACTCCTGGCAGCCAGTGCTCAAGAAGCTGGTAAGAAGTAATTAATGGATTTCCAGAAAGCTGGGACCACAGAGAATAAAACCAGCAAGACCTAGATCCTGTGGAGGAAAAGGCTCTATGAGTTTCTATAACTCAAAAACAAGAAAACAACCACAAACAACCAGAACATTCCTAGAGCTCATTATCTAGTGATAAATGGATCTAATGTCACATGAGGAATAAGAGGAGGAATAAAAACTCGCTGTCTTTGCACCAAAAAAAACCCAAAACAAATCCCTGGGAGTGCTAGCAAACCAGGAGGTGACTCAAGAAGGACAAGCAAGATGATGTGCAACAGCAAGAGAAGCAGAGGAACATCTGTGTGCTCAGTGCCCCAGGGCTGCCCGCTCCTCCAGACAAGAGAATGGCTGACAATGCTAACTGGGCAGGTTTAATTAAACTCTAATACATTATTTTTGTATAGTTAATCATTGCAATTGTCACGGCGAGGGCTTCTCATGGAACCTGGTTTGCATGTGAATGAGCAACTGGTAGGAGAAAGTCTGCAAGAGTCAGTGCTGGAGGTAGCAGGCAGGGGAGCTGCATGCTCAGCTGGGAACACGGGTCTTCCCACCAGCTCCTGTCCCCAACAGACCATGGGAGCAACAGGAACCATCACATGCAGACCAGAAAATACCTCTGCAGTGCTGGGAAGCTGAAAGTTTGCAGCAAATTGGTATTTATGATGCAGCAATTCCTTCCCTTTTTATTCTAAACCCATTCTGCTCTCTGAAATGCCCGGGATCTCACTCATCTCTGCAGCTCTGCCTATGGCAGCAAAGGATCCAGCATAATCCTGCAAACTGCACATTCTCCTTGCAGATCCTGCAGGACTTGTCCTCTTCCCCCAGAATCCCCACCCTGCAGCATTCACACCCTGAATCACAAAAAGAAAAACAAAAAGATGCTACAGGAACAGCTACAGGGGAGCACTGCTCCACCTGGGAGCTGCTGGAAGGAGAAAACTGAAAATAAAGGGGAAAAGGAGCAAAACTGAAAAATTAAAACACTGGGGAGGGAGAAGAGGAGAACGCTTGCCTCTCCTCCTTCATGCCAAGGGAGATCACCCAGAAACATGGATCAAGGTGATGAGAGCATCGGGGCCAGGAGAGCTGCTCTCAGCACAGCCCTGCAGACAGACAGACAAGACACCTTTGGAAGGAAAAGGTTGGCCAGGACATGAAGCAGCTCTGGACAAGGGATGAGCAGCATGGCCAGGAAGCAGAGGCCAGACCTTGGAGATGTTGCAAAGGAAACAGAAGTCAGATCTGCTCCCTGTGTGGGTGCATAGAGAGCAGATATCCTGCCACCCCAGACGGGCCAGAAGCGGAGGCAGCAGGTCCTGCCACGGCTGCCCTGGGCTCCCAGCTCATCCCCTTCCTCCCCTCACACACCCTCCAGCCCTGGCAGAAAGGCTCTTTGCAACTGGAAGGATCCTTTGGAGTCTTCCAGAAACAACATTGGAGAGGAAAAGCCTTTCCACAAAGAGGATCTATTCTGGTGCCACAGGAACCAGGAGCAACGTGGGAGAGAAAGGAACTGTAGGAAACGGCTGAGAACGTCAGGTGTTTTAAAAGGATTTTTGTTGTTTCTTATCTTAGTGGGAAACCAGGAGGCCTGCATGCCTTGGATTCAAACTGCTCTGATGGTTTCACACTTGGAATTCACCTGTGAGCTTCCCACAGCAGTCACAGTGGGATTGGGCTGTCCAAGGACCAGTAGCCACCCCTCATCTTCAGCCTCTCCACATCAGCTCACCTCCTCCTCACCTACCCCTCAGCAACTGAAGGCCGGGATAGTGAGCTCCACACTTTGGCTTCATTCCATGGAGAACATGGAAAACCAGGCAGTTTGTGCTCAAGGGACCACTAAGGCAATGGAAGGAAGATGAACTTGGGGTGCAAGGACCTTGTGGCTCAAGGAACCAAAAACTGTCAGAGGAGCCACCTCCCCCAAACACCCAACTGAAGAGCTGAGAATTGAGATAATTCCCAGCCAGTGTCTGGTCCTACAGGAGGAATCTCCCATACACCTCTGAAAAGCAAACCTGCTGAGAGCTTCTCCAGGAGCACCTCTCAGTGTGAATATGGCCAGAGGATGTGTAAACCCTTCTGGCTGCAGCCTCCTCCAAGGGGTAGGTCAGCAAAGCACAGGGGCTGTCCCCGGAGAGGAAAGCTCCGAGCACGGACGGGAATTCAGCAGAGGAAGTTTACGGGGCCATTTCCTCTGCTGGTCCTTTCCCTCGGCCGTCCTTCCTCCCAGAAGATAACTTGAACTTTGTACAGCGGTGTCATTAGCTCAGACCATCTCCTCTAGCCACGCCTGGGCCATCAGTAGGAAGCCAAAAAAAACCAAAGCAAACACAAAAACCCAGGCTGCATTTGTGTGGAGTGACGACACCCGCCGATCTGCGCCTCGGCCGGGAGCTTGGAGGGACAGAGTCATGGAGAAGGAATGTAGAGCCCGGGTCACCACGGGGCTGGTCACCATGACAGACACTGTTTGAAGGGCTGAACTGCCCAAGCATGGTGCTGAAGGTGTGCTGCTGTGCTGGCCAGGGCAGGGCAGAGGGGAATCTCTTTTCCATCCACACAGGATTGAGACTGAGGGGTCATTTCCTGACCTGGAGCAGCCTCTCCAGCTTCTCTTCCCCAACTGGAACAGCAACGCTGGTCTCCCTAGGAGGGGCCTCTCACAGACAGGCTTGTGTCAACACTGGGAAGCCAACACCTTCCTGTTAGAAGTCAAACACTCTGTTTACAGACCTCAACGTGACCTTCAGCAGCTCTCTGCCAAACCTTGCTACATGCCCCCACTCCAGGCTCCCTGGAGGCAGCAGGACCTGGATCTGCACCTTTACCAGAACACACTTGATGCTTAACCACAAGGACAGGGACATTCTCCCTGCTTCCCTCAGCCCTGCACACCTGAATTCAAGGTTTGTTAACTGCTCTGTTACCCGATCATCCCTCCAACACAACAAGCCTTTCAACCCAGCCAGACCCCAGCCTGGCCCGAGCTGCAGCCCCGGCTGCAATAATTAACAACTCGCTGGCAGAAGCTTCCAGTGCTCTTGCCTGGCCAGCAAACATCTGGTTCTGCCCATATCCCTCCTGCTTGAACCCTCTTCACCACTTTGAATTCATAGCCTCAGTTCACACCATCTTTCCAGCTCGGCAAATCTGACCTTCTCATCTCACCAGCTCCAACACGGGACTTTGCTGGATGCCAGAGGTGGCCCAAGAAAAGCAGACACTTCTCTCAGCAGCTGCACGGCAAGAATTGAGATAATTCCAGCAAGAATAAGGTGTTGAGAAGGTCTGCAGCTCTGGGAGAAAGCTGAGGATGATGGAGGGAGGGAGAACATACACATATGTTGTTTAGAGAGGGGAAAGCAGGAGGGACAGCTACGCCCAGGGCTGCCTCCTGCTCCCCCCTGACTGCCCGTTTTCACAGGAGCATGTTTTGATGGAGTGGAGTGCCTGATCAAAGAAAGTAGGAATGCAGGAGGAGACCAAAGACTCAGCTTCAGGGAAAGAATAAATGAGTCTTTGCAGAAGACCTGGAGGAAGGAGAAGAGGGTGGGCCCAGAACTGGGCTCCCAAGGAGGAGGGGAGGTGCTGTGCAGCCCAGCAGTTGAAGGCAGGTGTGCCCTCACTGCAGCACTTCAGAGCATCAGTCACAGCAAGTATGCAAACCTGACAGGCCATGGATCACTCAAGAGAAGGCTGGACAGCTTGCTACCAGCCCCTTGAAATGCCCGGTAACCTGGAGGCTGATGCTTGAGATAAGCCCTTATTCCTTTCTGGGGATTTCTGCAGGACAAACATCTCCACCAGCCTTGTGACCAGCGTTGGGGGTCAGGCATTGTGAGAGCCCCAGTGTTCAACCTCAGGCAGCTGACAGTGGCCTCCGGGCAGCCAGTCTAAGAGCTCAGCACATCCTAAGGGCAGTTTCAAGGCACTGCAGAGAAACGTTCTGGCTGGGCCAGAATAGAAAGCAATTCTTGAAAGTGCTCTTTGTTTGCCTGAAAAACCCAGGCTGGCATTCAGACTCCTGCTTGGGGTTTCAGTCAAAGAAGTTAGGAGCTAAGTGTCAGAATTCAGAGTGAAAGCTGGAAAGTTGGACTATTTCCTTGTGTCAGAGAAAGTGTGGAGAAAGAAAAAAAATACATATATGCCCTGCTTAAAAACTTGATGTAGGTTTGCAAAGCCACAGTCATTACACACAGAACAAGCCATCAGCTCCGCAGGACACATCAAAATGTCGTGCTCTGTCCCTGCTGACTCCAGAGTTTGCCAAAATCCTTATTCCCAGGCCAGCACTGTCACGACTGGGAACACTGGGACAGAGCCCTGCTAACACTGGGTAAAGTTGTTGTTACAAAAACCTGTTCATTTCAGCCCCTAAAAGCAAAGTATCTGCAGAAGCTGAGAGATCAAGCCCAGCAAAGAGCCACTTTGTCTCAGTCCCCGAGGAGACCAATTCAAACAGGAGCAAAAGGAAAAGTTAAACTTCTACCAGTCTCTGGACGACCCCGATTTTTTAAAAATCAGTTCCTGAAGCAACACCTCTATGTGTGTGTTCCTTTTTATTATTATTTTGGTTGAAACCAGAAAGCTGAGGGTCAGCAGCAAGAACCGCATCGCTGAGAACCCGTGTTTGTTTTAACCAGCCCAGGCAGGTCGGGATGGAAATCCTGGGAAGGTTTTATAGGCTGCCTGGATTTCCCACTCTGTGGATACAGAACCTGAAGCCCACCAGAAGGCAGGCTGGAAGCAGCATTTAATTTATGCATGGAATGAATGCTTCCTTGAGGGACAAAAAGAGCTGGTGTTCCAGGCCAGGGCAGGGCAGCCCCTCCTCTGCCTGCCTGTGAGTGCTGCTGCCCAGGGCAGCCGACCAGAACAGCTCCCACCTGTACTGGGCAGACTGGAGGGGGAGGCTGGAGGAGGTGCTGAGCAGTTTTTTTGCTTCAGCCAAATTAACTACGTTCCCAGGCTCTGCAGAGGGCTTAGGGGGACGTCAAGGAGCATGAGCACTGACCTGTGAACAAAGTGCATTCTTGTGGATCTTCTTGTAAATAAGAGCTGGGCAGATGAAACAGATGAGGCTCCCCATGGTGGCACCTGTCAGGCCCAGGACTGTTTCCACTGGCAAAGAAGAAGAGGAGACACATCAACAAAGGTCCGTTCCAGGAGAGCCAGAGCAGCTGGATGCTGGGTGCAAGCCCCCAGCAGGCCTGCTCATCCCACCCAGAAAAACAAGAGACCAGAGGAAGCAGCCACAGCCCACAGTGCCAGCTCCTCACTCACCGTTGGGGATCATGATGCCTCCTACCATGGTTCCAAACACCACAGCCAGAGTCAGGGCTTTGAAGCGAAGGGGGGGCATGTAGCCCCCTGCAGCAAAGGTGCCATCTTTTTGCTGGAAAAGAAAGGGTGGGAGAGGGGGGATGAGTTCAGCTCCTCCATCACATCCCTACAATTCCTAAGCAATTACCCCAGGGGGCTCCAGTAGCTTTGGCACCTCCAGGCCATGGTGTCCATGGAGGTGAATGCTGTCAGTTAGAGGTGGTTGAACAGTTTTAATATGCAACTGCATTTGAACCTCCAAACGAGAGTGAGGAGGGCACAGGGCCAAAGCTGCTGTTTCCATCCTGCCCAGAGGGGACCCCGTGCCAGCCCCTGGGCAGTGCTGCAGCCACCCAGCCTCAGTGAGCAACCCTAAGGCCAAGGGTATGAGAAAGAGAAGGGAGAATGGACGTGGGGGAAGAACTATGGTTTTGCTACAGGGAGGTGTCCCCAACACCTGTGGGACCATTCCCAACGTGCCACAACATGCGCACCAGCCTCCCCAACTTGACAGAGGACACCCCAGATGGATGGCAGAGAGCAGGATGGGTGCTGGTGAGGAGCTGCTGGCCCTGGAGGTTTGCCAGCTGCCCTCCTTTTCCCACTCCATTCCCACCCTCCAAGCAGAAGATGTGGAAAGCTGAGGAGAGCAGGTCCCTGCTCTCCTGCAGATGGGAGAGGGAAGCAAAGAGATGGGAGCAGAGCCCAAAGAGCAACAAGCACAGCCCAGGCAAGAGCCAAGCCCTTCCTGAGTGTTTCCAACACTTACTCCCCTGCACCCTCCAGCTCTCACCCACCATCCTCAGGCCCTCCCGACGTGAGAAAAGAGCCGGGGGCTTCTCAGAGGCAGAAGTGGCAGGATTTAGAGTTATAAATTGCTCAAGTTTTATTTCCTGCCCTAAGAGGTTTCTATTTATGCAGATACACAAAGGCCTCAGAACATTCCCACAATCTCTTACTGTTATTTACTGAATACCATCGGCGTGCTCAGGGCTGTACAATACACAGAGGAGAACACGCCACTGCCACAAGGGACTCACAGTCTAGATCAGACAGACCAACTACAGTCACAAAGGCTGTCTGAAGATCTGACCCTGGGAAAGGTGACCGTGGGGGAGAGGGCTGTGTCCCACAACCAGCTTCTGCACCAGAATAGCACCCAACACCCAGGACAGGCACCAGGGGCAGGGGACAGCTGAACCCGAGGGAAGGAGGCTGCTCAGGGAGCACTGACAGAGGTGTAAGGGTGAGAAGAAGAAGAAAAAAGCAGAAATGAGCAGGCACAGAGCACAGCAGGAAGAAATGAGGCTGTGCTGGGCTCTGAGGCCAGGAACAGAAGCTTGAGCTAAATGCAAAGCAAGATCGATTTGGCCAGCGAAAGGATGCCAGCTGGAGCAGCAGGAAATCAGGAGGCTCCTCTGTTCCCAAAGGCACATTTCTCCCTCTTTCTCGGGGGGAGGAACTGCCTCAGCTCTGAACTGTGTAACACTTCTGCGCGAGAGCCGGAATCCCCGGTGGAGGAGGGAAGGAGCAGCCATAGGATGTGGGGGCAGCAGAGCAACCCCGGGCTCAGGCTCACAGCTCCAGCACTTCTGCCCATGAAACTCCTCTGCAGAGAGGACAAGGACCTCCAAGTACCAGAGATCAACCATCCTGCAGAGCGGGGTTTACAGACTGCCACGAGCCTCCTCCTGCACCGCTCCCACATGCTCCTGATTTCCCTGCCAGTTGAGGGTTTGTCCCTCTGGACAGTGAGTACCTACCACAGGTCAGAAACATGCAGGTGTCAACGAAAGGTCCCAGGACCAAGGCAGGTTTGTAGCCCAGGTCAGCAGCAGAAGCCAAAGAGTCACAGCAGCCCTTCAAAAAGCAAGTTCAAAGGTGCACAGCAGGGCAGCTGCTCCTGGCCACACAGAGGATCTTACCTGCTGCTCAAAGAGAAGGGTGTTCAGTGCCTGTCTGCATGGGAGAATCATCATGGGAAACCCCACTGCTACTGACATCATGAATCCCACTCGGATCATCTCTGTCACCAGGTTGGAAGGGAAGTTCATCAGGACGTTCCCAGCAATGGCTTCAGTGTAACTCACGTAGCCAAAGAAGCCCACCTGTCCAGCAGGAGGGGAGGAGAAGGAGGTTTGACTGCAAAGCACATTCATACCTGCTCTTTACTACAAGCTGGAGGTCAGGGACCTTCTGTGAGATAGGATCAGTGTGGGGCCACCCATGAGCAACCCACCAGCAGCTCCAGCTGCAACACCCTCAAAAGCTGAGATAGGCAGTTAAAGAATAGTGGGGCTTCCTAAAAGCAGAGGCAAGTCTCTCACCAAATACAGTGGAGTTTCATGGAGGACTCTGCAGCCAGGGAACACTGCCACTGCCCATGACACCAGGCAGGGACATCCTGCTTGCTGCCAGGCCCATGGACAGGCCCCTCTGACAAAGGAGGGGCCATAACAATTCCCCACAGCAGCCTCCTCAGGAATTATTAACCCAGTTTATTAACTGCTGCTCTATGGGGCATAACTTCCTTCACCTCTTTCCAATTGCAACAGGCTGAAAGAAGGTCTCCTAAACTCTGGGCAGCATCTCCAGCTCAGGCTGGGCCCTGGAAGGCAGAGAGGAGCCTGGCTGAGCTGGCTCCACTCTTCCTCTGCCCCAGGAAACGTGCCACGATGAGAATCTGGACTCTCCAAACGCCTCCTGCGCTGTTGGGTTCATCATCTCCCATCTAATTTTGCTTTCAGCAAAGCTACTTATCTTTCAGAATAAATACAGATAAGCAGAAACCAGCCCCCAACGGAAGATAAATCATCCCCCGTGTTGCCCCTGCAGAGTGTGACTTCTGGCAAGGAAGGAGAAGGGGAAGTTTCTTACCGTGATGTAAAAGGTGGTGACCACGTTTAGGGAAGAAGCAAATATGGAGCTCATGATTTTAACGGACGGCTCATCCAAGCTGTCATAGGTAGGCAAGACCTGACTGTAGAAAAAGGGAAATTATTTAAGGAAACCTTCAGCAGAGGCAGAAAACCCCAACTCCAGCACATTCCCTGCCTCAGCCCAGCAGCAAAAAATCCCTGACACCTTCCCCCTATGGAGCATAAACACTCGCTGCTATTCCACAATTTATACTGCTAATGCCAAGAGATTTCAGAACACTCATAACTTTAAGTGTTGCAAAAATATTCCTGCTCTCCCCACCCCACCACGTGGAGCTGAACGTGTGATGTAAACATTTTGGTTCAAAAGTGTTGCAAAATGAATGACCGTTTGTTCCCGTGGAACACCAGTGGCACCCGGCCAGGCAGCGCGGCGCGGATTATTGTTCTTGGAGCTCTCGGGGCTGATAATTAAAGCAACGCAGTGTTTACAGAGTAGAAGCAGGAAGGAGGTTGGAGCATCGCACTGTCTAACAGGAAAGTTAAACAAACAAAACCAAAGGCAGAGCCTGTCAGATTTGGGCGCTGCTGCGAGAGCCGCGCTCGCGGCAAGCGCCAATTACACGGGATTTGGGGTATTTACAGACTTGGAAAGTGTGTGGAATGTACGGGTTTGACATCAGGTGCATATTTTAGCAACTCATTAACCTCTTGGTACTTTAATTCAAGTGGCTACATCCTGGCTTCATGTTACTGAAGTAACTCCTGGGAGAAGGGAGAGAGCATCCAGTGGGATGGGAAGGGGGTATCCCCAGCTCCGGCGGGCACAAAGCCATCAACAGAAAGTGTGTCAAACTGAGGCCAAGCAGAAAAATCCTTCACCCTTAATCCCTTGACGCCCTGCACAGAGGCAGCCGAGCGCACGGGCTGGCAGGGCCCCCGGACACGCCGGGTCTGCGCACGCAGCCCATGACGGCCATTTCGAAGCAACGGCTTCCCCGGGGGCTCTCCATGTCAGATTCCTCCTCTGCTAAATCAGCCAACTGTGCCCTGGACTTCAGCCCCACTAGGGGAAGGGGACCAGCCAACCACCCAGGCCCAGGGAGGAGAGGAAGGAGGGAAGCAGAGAGGTGTGGGATGGCAGAGCCGGGACAGGCTCGTGTTAGTGCAGGACCAATGGGGGAGAAGTGCCGTACAAAGTCCTGTGGCATCCAGCCCTCCTGCCACCATCTAACTGCACCCTTTTGGTCAAACTAGGTTTGGAGGAGCAGCACAGGGCCCCCCAGCATGCTGCTGGGCTCTCCTGACCATCACCACCTCTGCAGGCAGAGCAAGAAGACAGGCAGCATGCAACGGGCAGCACGTCCCGACGTGCCCGAAGTTTGTTTTTAAGCGAAATGACGGCGCTGGAGGGCAGCGAAGGATCAGGGACCCTTCCCCCTCATCTGTCACACGGCACCTCAAAGGGGGCTCAAACAGATGGTTTCTCCCGAGCAGAGAGCAGGCAAGTCAGCACAGGCATGAAGAGCAACATCAGAGGGAGCAGCCTGGCTTCAGAGATGGCAGAGGTCCCTTGGAGCATCTATCTTTAAGCCCACCACAGTCCCAACTCGCCCCACAGGGATCCGACCTGCCCAGAGGCAGTGAACAACACCCTGACTTTTACTACCCCTCTGAATTCAGCATTTTTGCATCCATCTGCACCAGATCAGCCATCTCCAGAAAGGAGAAGTTTTCTTCTGGAAAGCTCCACTGACTCCTCGTTAATCAGCGGGTTCAGTGACAGGACCAAGGTCACGCAAGGCGCTCGCAGAGGTGTCCCGGCGTCCTCCTGCTCCCAGCTCCACAGCAAACTTCCACACTACAGAACTGCAGAGGAGTGACCTACTTTGCAACTTCAGCAACAACAGGAGAGCTTTTAAAGAGCGAAGGGCACCGAGCTCACAAGTAAAGCAGGGTGAAGTTTTTCAAGCTAGAATAACAGCAGATGTATTTGCCCTTACTGTCCACTGCTGCTGAGGGAGGATTTCTGCTCTGTGTTGGAATTAGTAATTTTTTAAAAAGGTGACTCAGAGGTTAGCAAAATTAAACCTACCTAGCTGAGAATAATGTGCTTATAAAGATTGTCTAGGCTGGGGACAGCCTGGAAAAAATGCATAGCTTTAGGTTGAGCTTGCCACGTAAGTGCAGCCCTGGAGCTTATATTTAGCTACACACACACACTGGTCCAGCCAAATGATTTCCCTGCGCTTCCAACTCCCAGCAAAATTGTGCAGGATACTGAGTGACTACCATAAGGAAAAAAAAAAAAATATTACAATTGGAAGTTAAAAACTCTACAATGTTAACAAGGTAAAGCTGCAAAAGAACACAATTCCCTTCGCCAGTTGTAATGGAGATATTAAACAGCAAGACTGGAGCGTGTCCGGGTGGGAACCGCGCTGCCAAGAGAGCCGATAAGTGGAAAATGATGATTTGGATCTTGCGTGTGGGTGTAAACACAGCAGTCTGAACAAATTTTATCTGTCACATTCACTCACTGTTGGCACACTACCCGCTTGCTAGAGCTACAGGGGGGGAAAGCCCGACTCTGCCAGCAGGCAGAGGAGGATGGTCTTTTCCGTGTCCACGTTTGGATTTACGCTTCTATTTCAAGTCTGTTCCTACCCTGGCCAGGCACCTGTTGCTCACTGGCCGTGTTGGTGCAGAAGGTGATGGTTGGACTCTGTGATCTTTCCAACCAAGGTAATTCTGGGATTCTGTAACAGGCTGGAAACGTGCAAAGAGCCTGGTCTGCCCCCTCCTCCCTCTGCATGCCGACGGAATCCTCATTAAAAGCAGGTATCTGCAAACATGCGGAAAACTCTCCAAAGTCAACGACTGTGTGATCTGCTGAGTGTGCTCAGAGAAATTTGGGGAAGCTGAGAGCAGCCAGGAGTGCAGGGGACCCTGCAGGGGCCCTGCAGCCACCAGGCGACACAGCCCTGCTGCCTTTCCTGGTGCTAAATCATTCCCTTCAAGAAACGGGGGAAATTCATCACCTCTGCAGCTGTAGCAGAAGCAGCGTGTGTTACAGTGAGGATCTGTTTGGCCCAAATGATCTCGTGTTGCTCAAGCACAATAACTCCCAAGTGAAATATAACTCCCTCCCCCATCTAGGTAACAAAAGGGTCACAACCGAATGAGACGCTGTACTCCAGTGGGCTGTAAAATATTTTGATTAAAATAAAATAGGAAACCAGATGGTATCTATCCTGTGCAGACCCTCCTGACCCCTCTGCCCCCAAAAAGACTCCTCACAGACCACAACTGCCAGCAGTGGGGATGGCAGGTACTTACGACTGACAGGCAAAAGACATGCCAAAGATGGGGATGCAGCGGAAAATGCCCTCCCAGCGAGTGTAACTAACTCGCTGCAGCCACTGCCCGCTGAAGAGGCCGTGCTTGAAGGACGACAGCACAATCTGCAGCCAAGAGAGAGAAAAGGGGTTCAGATCCAACCCAAAACAGCTTCATGGCAGCAGTGAGGCTGGGATATCAGGCAGTGTGTGGCAGCTCTGTGAGGAGCAGCTTACACTGCCTGCCCAGGCTCTGCGAGGCAAATTCCCGGCTCCCCACCCCCCCTATGAAAGCTCCCAGCAACCTCCCAAGGCCCTTTGCCACCAAGGATCCTGGTATGCATTTTGAAAGATCTCTGACACTCCTCCCCTTGTTTGATGCCATCAGACATCACAGCACACACCAGGGTGGAACAGTTTCCACCAACACATTGACCAGGGACAATTCTTGTTCCCAGCAATTTTGCACTTGTTTTAAACACGTTTTTAAATCCAAATGGGAAGTGACGTTTGCCTTGGAGCATCCTGTGCAACAGAGAGAGACACAGGGTCCTAAAACAGGACCTGCACACTGCTATTCCACTGCAGTTCAACAACACAGGTTCACCAAAGACAGGGATAAACTTCATGAGAAGAGGGGAAGCAAAGAACTCAGACAAGGCCAGGAAGCTGTGCTGCCCCTGGCAGGGAAACAGGCAGGCATTGGGTTGCACAGGAAACAGAAGGTAAATATGTCTGGATGCCTGTTTACCATATCACCTGAATGGGGGATTTCTAATCCCCAGAGAGTTGGTTTTAGTGCAGCCAACTCTCATGAAATATTGTGGGTTTCTGAAAGGCCCAGCTCCTGGAACAGAGCAGGTTTGTAAAACACTCATTTACAGTTCCAGCCTCCTCAGAGAAAAACCCAGAGCATGACCCAGCACAACCTACTAAAAATAGTTATGTGGAAAGTATTTCCACACCTCCCTTTTCTTCCTTTTGTTTCAGCTCTTCCAGCCCTGAAATTTGGGAGAGACAGGAGCAAACCACACTGGCATCCAGGAGGTGAAACTTGAAGTCATTAAAGAGCAAGTGAAAGTCTCCACCTCTCAGTCAGTGAGGCTTGGCCAAGGCAAACAGGGCCAGCTCTGGGTAACCCTCTGCTTATCCTACTTACCCTAACTGGTCAAGAAACCATTTACTTTAGTGAAGAAAACCTTTTCCAGCAATATCTAAGGACAAGCACCCACCACGTACCAGGCTTCAGACTTCATGAAACTTTCAAATGCTCAAGAAATAGAAGTGCTGGTGTCCAACAAACAAATACAACCCCTCACAGCCTGAAAGATGTGAACCAGCCTAGGGTTTTAGAAGTGCTGAGGTTTGCAAGGCAAAACACTAAGGCATGATGAGAGTCCTTCTGCTTCCAGGCATTCTTCCCCATCTCTTCCACCCTTTGATGCAAAGTCCAGAGCCCTCAATTAGAAGGCACTGACAAGCAGAATAAACCACAATGTGATTTGTGGTTTATTATTTGTGCCACCACAGTCCCCAGCATGTCCCCATCCCTTGGGGGATTTCAAAGCTGTGTAGATGTGCTGAGGGACATGGGGCAGTGGTGGCCTTGGCAGGGCTGGGTTAATGGTTGGACTGGATGATCTTAAAGGTCTTTTCCAACCAAAATTATTCCATGACTCTATGTGTAACAGCTCACTGACCCACTGGCTAGGTTCTACAGCCTGGAACTCCCCAGCTCCACCAGCTCAAGAGCTTGGGCACCCAGATCCCTCATTATGCCCAGCACTACCAGCACTAATTCCCAGGAAGGACGTTATAAATGCAAAACCTGCACCTGCAGGTTGTCACAGCAGGAACATCTGTGTTAAAACAATAGGAAAAGAGCATTCCCAGCATCAATACTCACCACAAACATGAACACGGTGTAGAAGATCAGAGCCATGGCACTGAAGGACTGTATGGAGGCCATCATGTTCCTCTGGAGGCTCAAGGGAAGGACAATGCACAGTGAGACAGCGAAGAGCAGCACAATCCGGAAACTGCCCGACACCTGGAAAAGGGACCTGCATAAAGAACTGGAGCATGGAGGAGCCTCAAAACATCCCACCACGTGAGCAAAGTGACTCCCTAATGTGCTTATTTGTTCCACAGTGAGAAACAATGGGATGCCAGGGTGGGTTTCCAACTGGGAATTCTGCTGCCCTACGTTTGTCAAGATTTGATGCTGATGCCGAAACGTGCCATGACTCTGGCTGGGTCTGTGATTAGCTCGTGCAGTCACTGGGTGCCACTGTTGCTCTACACAGTGTGTGACACAGCCCTCCTGACGGAGAAGCTTGCTTTTTTTTTTTTTTGGAGGGGGGGGTGGGGATAAGAATGTTTAAATGCTAATCCAGCACAAGCTATTTAGGTATTTTTCATGCAATTAAATAAAAACGGAACTTACTTGGGAGACAAGAGATTGAAGTCTTGGAAATTCTGATCCAGAAAATTAATCAAAACCTCACATTGGTATTTATTATAGCAGAACACTCTGAAATGCTTGGAAATATTTAATACCCAATTTGGCTGCAGCCACAACGCATCTTTTTAACTTCCCAGTCCCCTAATCAGAGCTTAGCAGCATCAGGCAGAGCAGATAACAGCCCCGCCAGAATTCCTCCCACGTGTCCCTTTTCCTTCCCAGCACGGTCCTTGCAGCTCACAGCTCTCCAGGAGGAGCAGCAAGTGCCTCCTGCCCATGAGGAGCACCCGGCTCAACACATGGTTTGTTTTACCTTAAAGAGGAGGCAGGCACAGAGTCACTTTGGCCCCAAACCAGCAAGGAACAGGACCCAAAAAATCCTTCTTGGACTAGAGGGGGTGAGAGCTGGGGAACAGGAACTGCCTGCCATGGCCCATGCAGGGCAGGAATTAAGACAGGAAGCAGCATCTCCTCCATGAATCTGCTCCAGCATTAAAAGAGACCAAGTTAAAAAGAATTCCTTTGTTGGAAGTGCCTCCTCAGAGGTTTTAGGCAGCTGATTGTGCACCATATGTTGGGGCTCCAGGGTCCCACCAGCTGTGCCAGCAAACCTTGCCCTGGGATCACCCCGCTGAGACGGGGAATTCTGCTATACCTCAGGCACACACTATGCGAGGAGAACTGGAATCATGGATGTGATCCCCTGAGGATTTATTTACCTGAAATCCAAGCAGCCGGGCAAAGAAGTTGGACCCCAGGTCACCAATGACAACGTAGAAAGCAATGCAGGTTCCCAGCATCAGCCCAATCATGCTGCAGAAATAACACAACATCAGGGTCAGGAGGAGGGAGAAGGAACCTGGGAATGCAGCTTCTGGGCAGGCACATCTGCAGCCACATTCCCAGTGGATTTGTGCTCTGTACAGCCCTGCTTAGAGGACAAGGCTTTGTGAACACCCAGGAATGTTGTCATGGAGCCGGCAGCACTGGGACCCCCCCCAGTGAGACGAGGGCAGCAGGAACAGCGCTGCGAGCATCCACTGGGAGCAAGAGACCTCCTACACCCTGCAGGACTGAGACAAAGGTCTGGCACCAAGGGCTCCAGGGCTACACCCTGTACACAAACACCACAGCCAAAGGCTGCTCAGGATCCTCCAAGGAGTTACACAGAAACAGCAAAAACGGGACCTTTAAGATGACTTAAAACCTTGCACAGCCGCTTGCTCGTGTTCAGAGGTCAAGCAGCCTCAGCTCCAGCAAAATTCACCCTCTGACACAACGTCCTGGCCTGTCACGGTAGAGACAAGCCCCAGATTCT